ATTTCAAATTAAAATCATAAATAAGCACCTGTCATTCTACCACCATTGATGATGGAATCTGTCTACCATATTCCCCTTGAGATATCAGAATTGAGGACCTTACAGACTTCTATTTATGAAGGGAGAATTGGTTCAGGTATTGATGCAAAGTAAGTTAGTGGGGTTATCTCCCTTCCATCAGTAACGCCCGTTATCCTAATGTTAACATACACTCTCTATAAGATTCATATGTTAGCCATCTTGAATACTTGTCGACATTTAATTCCATTTATGTTGTCCATGTTTTACTTTGAGTAGCAGTTTGAGTTAAAGGTGGCAAGTGGAAAGAGGTAGTTTATTTTTTGAAGCAACAAACTAAAAACAACCGACACAAGGAAGCGCAAGGAGCGTCACAGTTCGTTAGTTGACCGTGATAAAGGACACTTCACCCCCACCGCATACTAGGAACTCCTATTATTGCTCTTACTTAACAGGCTTCGCTACCTCTACTCGACTACCTAGTCTGCTATTGAAATATCGCTGTGAGGAGTTATTGTTTCCGTTATGTACCATTTCTATGTGCTGACTTCCGGGTTGGTACTCTGGGACTCGACACCACGGGTCATCTCGGACAGCACTGTGAGGAGCCATGTTGGAACTGATTCTCTAGTTTCTCTAGTCCACGTGACCATCACAGAACACACTGGCAGCCGCCATGGCCATTATTTTCGTGTTGCTTGATATTAAAATGCATTCGTAATTTCAATTAACCATATAAACATTTTTCTTAAAATCGGGATCGTTTAGTTTTCAGTTTACAGTTTTTGTTGAGTCCCCATTGTTCTCGTTCTTCTACCATGTACTTCCAAACCTGTTGTTGGACAAGACCGCCTCCGTGGTCTAGAGGTCCTGGGTTCGATCCCCGGCCGCGTTATACCAAAAGACGATCAAAGATGGTACTTGTTGTTACCCTGTCTGGCGTTCGGCATTAAGGGGCTAAAACAAGAACGTGTCGGCTCGGAGTCAGTACACTGTGTCTTAGTGGTGTATTCATGTTAAACTGCGGCATGGTATCTCAGTGAGCCAGCACTATAAATCGGCATCAGTCCGGACTAACACAAGCAACCACACACACACACACACACACACACACACACACACACACACACACACACACACAAAACGCGACGTTAAACCCAATTTCACCTCACCTCACCTTTGTTGGATAAATGCAATCACACATTCACCGATACTTTGCTGACATTAAGCCAATACACGTGCTTGCGTTATATGAAACCAAGTGTATGTTTTGGTGAATTGGGAAGTGATTGCTATAAAGAAAAATGGACATGCATTTCAGTTACAGATGTTGTCCAGGTTAGCTAACAATACGTCATAAACCTTCGATTTACTGTTCTCGATTAGTTTCATAAAGTAATTATGATGTAATAAATTCTATTTCGAACACCTAAATATACAGGATACAATTATACGTAATCGAAGCATATGCAAGGGGCCCTGAGTTGTAGCTTGTAGCCATTAAAACGGTAGACGGCAATAACGTCTTGATATGCATCTTGTACAAGTTGGGCGAGTTTAATTCAACAGTTCAATATAATATTGAACGCTTCTGATGAATAATATGCACTATAAATGGAAAGTTACTTTGAAAGGCATGGCCCGCTTCATGTTGAACTAAAAAAACAGCATCAGAAAACAGCTACTGCGAAACTAATTATTGACTCAGTGAGTTTCAGGGATATCACGGCGTCTCATACGGAAGCCTTTCATGGCCATTTGTTTTTTCTCTTTACTTTCTTAAAATTTCAAGATACTTAGTTGAAATTTTGAGATTTTAACTTGAAATTTCAACGTATTTATTTTTAAATTTCAACTTAATAGTATCTTGACAGCTTATCTTAGTACTTTGAAATTTTATATTAGTATCTTAAAATTTCAATAAAAATATAATGATACAAATGGACCTAACGGGCTTCCGTAGCGTCAGCGTGCCATATCATAACAGCGGTTGTACGTGCTTTCCCCGCAATGCCGCGCCATCAGATGTGAGCGAGTATGGTTTTACGCCGCTTTAAGCAATATTCCAGCAATATCACAGTGGGGGTCACCAGAAATGTGCTTAAACATTGTGACCATGTGGAGAATCGAACCCGGGTCTTCGACGTGACGAGGGAACGATTTAACCACTCCGCGCCATGAGTATATGTACTGACTCTATATATTTTATATCACGGCATTTTAACTTGATGTGGGACGACAATTCGAAGCGAAACAGATTTTAGACATTTACCACATTGGGGAAACGGGTATTGTGCTGAAAAACCAAGAAACATAATCAGGGCGACGTGGGATTCGAACACACGACCATAGGTTTCTGGCAGCCCTAAGGGACGCAACTCTGCACAGCTCGATCGAATAACGTTAAACGGTGGCTTGTTAATAGTTTATTGATTTTTCAGATATATCTCACCTTGTCCTCTGTAACCATCGTGAACAAGCACGAGTCAAGGTTTAATGCGGACAAACACTTGGATTCGAACATATGACCAGCGGATCCTGGAGCGGGTAAGGGTCCTTTCACACCGAAATGTGGCGTATTAGACCACAAAACAACACAACACAACACAACACAACACAACACAACTTTATTAACACTCTGACCGGGATCCTCGGCATATGAGGTACAAATTTGCAAACAGTATATACATAAGATGGCGGGGTGGTTTACGTGGAAGATTTTACAGTTTTTGTAATGACATTACAGAATGTACAGAGTTTTGTAATAACATTTTTGTACAATTAAAAAGTTCGTTCAATCTAAACATATTTGGGTTTTTAGCATATGAAATTGGAACATATATTTTCCGTTGGTGTTTAAAAAAAGGACAAAGAAGATATAATGTAATTCATCACCAACATCGCTCTTGTTTACACGTTCATTCATTGACAGAGATTTTGTTCCACTTACCTAGTTCAATAGGTAAATGATGGCAGGAGGTTCTAAACAAAAGGGATTACAGCCAAGGACAATCCGCATAGATTAAACATGAGTTGATAATCGAGTTTCTGGAAGGAAAGGTGAAATATGGTCCCAACAACCACTCAATCTATCCTAACCGTTTAATTGGTTACACGGCTAAGTTTAGATTGTTCAGTGTAATGACAGTTTGTGATAGCACTGGGGTATCGGATTCGGCCGGTAACTGGTTCCAAGCAACTTGGTAACAAAACTCGGTTCATGACAAAACATCGTTTGTGACTCAATCGACAAAGACACAACAATCGATTCATTCACTGATCGATGTTTGTGTAAAAAACATGTACTCATTAACTTAAATAAAACTGAACGAAAACAGAACGTCTCTTGAGTTACCGCAATTAGTAGTTTAAGACGCAAGCTTTTACTAACATCCAAGCAATTCAGATGCATTAATAATTGGCGGATTTCCTATGAAACAATTGTAAATGATTAAGTGTAGCTCTGTATATATCAATTAAACACTCTAACAGCCTACTCTAATTTTATTTCCAGACTCTACTCAAGGAATAAGGACGCTAATGTGCTTTTCCAATGTTAATCGCCATATCATTAACTGTGTTCAATGGAACAAACCTTGATCAATCAATTTGACAAACTAAAATCATTAAACAAATGTTTTTGAAGTAATCTTAAGATTATTACCCACACGCGACTATCTCTCAAGAGATAAGGTTTTAGTTTTAAACTACTCTCATTGTAATTAGCGTGACACTATTATGGTAGACAATGCATCAATACCAAACATATCTAAGATGATTCTTCACACATGAATAAACACGCCGCTTATTTCTACCACGCAAGCATTGTCTGTCTTATGTAAAGCTGCAACTGCAAATGAGCACATAGCTAAACCATCTATCTGCGACTGTGGTGATCGAATCGATCGGGCAGATAGCGGTTGCGTTTGAGCGATAACGACCATGTCATAATAAGAAACATCTTCAGGTCCTGATGAAGGAATCAGCATGACATAACTTGTAACTGAATCCATGCGAGAACCCAAGAGAACCCATGCACATAAACAGTGTATTTTGATGAAGGACAACCGAATGTAAACCACACGTAAAGATACGGGTTAGAATTAAGTGTTTGAATGGCATTTAGAAGTTATACACATAAGGAAGAGAATTATGGATGTCAACTTCTTTATTATAAGGAACACAACGTTTCGGAGTATATGCTTACTCCTTCATCAGATGAACGAAAGCTAGGAAGCAGAGAGCATATATATGTACATGTAAGAACAACACAAGTAATAAGATAACAAAGTTGGAAACATGACAAGGGAAGCCAACAGTTACTTAGCGCTGATAAGTGATTAGCAATAGACAAATGCAAGCCAGGAGTTAAATTGTCAGTGATCGGTAACAAGCTGGGGCAAAGGGGAGATCAGGGGGCAATCAGCACTGATAGGTAATAGCAATGGACAATAGCAGCGTTGTGTTAAAATAGATCTTCAGCAACCCATGCTTGTCGTAAGAGGCGACTAACATGATCGAGAGGTCGGGCTCGCTGACTTTTTTTTTATACATGGCATCGTATCCAAATTGCGTGGATCAATTCTCATGACATCAATCACTGGATTGTCTGGTCCAGATTCGATTATTTACAGACCGCCGCCATATAGCCGGAAAATTGGAGTGCGGCGTTAAACAACAAACAAACAAACATTGCAAACCTTGCCTATTAGATAAAAAATAACACAAAAATTGATTTTACATTATAAATAGAGTTCGCAACATTGTCATAAATACTTTTAACCAAAGCCCGGCAGTATATTTCACTAGTCGTTTATAATACGTGCACTAAAACGAGATCAAACGATATTATTGAATGTTTGGGTACTGCGAACGATGTTCTATGTTTACGGTTAAAACAGCTGCGCTGTCTTAATGCATCGCCGAAACGGTTCCTGTTCTCTGAAGCGGGGCATCCAATAGGAATCCGTCTGCGGTTCGCTTGCCTCTGTACAATGTACATATACGATTGTCGTCATTTGTTTTGCGAGATAGAAACTGGATTTACTTGTGGCATGATTGGCGTCCAAGAATAACACCGTGTTATATAAAATACCAACATATCTAATGCAAATTATCAACTTTACAAAAGCGCAGCTTTTGTTGAAAGGATACGGATCGTGTGACTAAAGGATGTACCCTCATACCACTGTGTCTACATCCTACCTTTATACTTCTGACAATTTGAATATCTGAAAACAGGGACAACCTGACCAAATACCCGTCAACAATTCTTCTCACCAAGGATAACCACATATCTATATGCCAATAAAACACAAAGTGTGCCAAGTTTAATTTTTTCAAAACTTGAACACCGAACAACATACACCAATGTCACAGAATTCGACGCCGAGGTTAACAATAACGTTAGTGCTGTTGTTGACGGTGACGAAAACAGCCGACGGTGCCAAGGCCTTCAGGAACTTCTGGTACTCGCCCTACGGCCTGCCCGAATATGGCCAGAGCGTGAGTCAGGGCTCCAACTTAGGTCTCCTTACAATGGTGCAGTGTTCCCGTTTTTGCTCTGACGACGATTTGTGCAATGCCTTCCAGTTCCACAAGACGGATCCTTCGTCCAAGAAAGGCATTTGCTACACGTTTAAATCACTCACCTACAACACTATCATGACCCCCGTGCCACAACAAAAGTACTTCGAGAAGGTGACTATGATTCTTTTTCATGTTTCACATAAATATGTTTAATCGATTTGATTCTGATACATTCTTACGAAAGCACAGTATGATACATATAATTCAACCACCGTCGGTAATATTTTGAAAGGGTTGGTTGGGTGGTTTATTGTTTTACGCCGCACTCAGCAATATTCCAGCTATATGACGGCAGTCTGTAAATAATCGTGTCTGGACCAGACATTCCTGTGATTGGTATCATGAGCATCGATCCACGTAATTGGGATCGATGACATGCATCAACCAAGTTAGCGAGCCTGACCACCCGATCCCGTTAGTCGCCTCTTACGACAAGCATGGTCGCCTTTTACAGCAAGCATGGGTTGCTGAAGACTTATTCTACCCCGGATCTTCACGGGTCTGTTGAAAGGGACTTAAATCTTGGTTTTGACTTCTGAGGTAGGTGTCATTGGCTTGAGACCCTTGATCTAATTTGGAATCTTAAGAGGTATCAAATCGACAGTGACGCACCTGCAAAAAAGAGGTGTTAAATCAATGGGGACATACTTCAAAATTAAAATCAGAGTTAGTTCATCTCGACTCTACCAAGGCACATTACTGATGTCGGTGAATGAATGAATTAAATCGCTTTCTCTCTTTCTCTGAGTAAATCTGCATGGCTCCACATAATGAACACATGATCTGTAAAGAATCGAGTCTGGACAGGACAATCCAGTGACTGACATCATGAGCATCGATCCACGAAATTGGGACGATGACATGCATCAACGAAGTCAGAGAGCCTGACCACTTGATCTCGTTAGTCGCCTGTTGTGGCAAGCATAGTCGCCTATTACGGCAAGCATGGGTTGCTGAAGATCTATTCACCCCAGGTCTTCACGAGTTTAACAATCATACACGAGGCCTGGCTGAAACGTTCTAAGCCTAACTGAAAAAAGACCCGTACAAAGTCGATGGTTTGCATTTATTTCTCCACATAGTCCCCTTTCAGGTTTACACACTTTTGCCAGCGATGCTGCAAGGCCTGGATGCCGGTTAAGAAGAAATTTTCTTCAGCCACCCTACAAAAGTCATTCACAGCGGAAATGACGTCATCATTACAAGGAAAATGGCGACCGGCTAGTTCCTTTTTCATTTTGGGAAACAAGTCGAAGTCTGACGGGGCCAAATCGGTTGAATAAGGGGGATGGTCAATGAGTTCAAAGCCATAATCATGCATCGCTGACATGGCAACCACCGATTTGTGAACAGGAGCATTGTCTTGGTGGAACAGGACTCCTTTAGTGAGCATTCCCCGTCGCTTAGCTTGCACGCAACTGTCTTAGTAGGTCAGCATAATATCTTCCATTGATAGTCCCCTTGGAATCTAAAAAGACTGAAGCCATCCAGCAGAAAGAACCGATTTGGATTTTGGGGGGGCTGGTGATTCCGGATGCTTCCATTGTTTAGACTGAAGTTTGGTTTCTGGTTGAAAGTGATGAATCCAGGTCTCATCCATGGTTACAAATCGGGCCAAAAAATCATCGGGATCTGCTTCAAAACGGCATAAATTGTCACGGGACGTCAGGAATCTGACACGTTTCTGATCCGCTGTCAAGAGCTTTGGCACCCATCTTGCAGAAACTTTCGTCATTCCCAACTCGTTGGTGATAATGTGCTCAACCCTCTCATGAGAGATGCCCACAACACTGGCAATATGTCGAGTGGTCAATCGTCGATGAGCCATCACCATGTCATGCACCCGGGTAATGTTTTCCGGAATGGTTGCTGTTGAAGGCCTTCCTGGACGCGGGTCATCGTTAAGGCTCTCTCTGCCACGCTTGGATTCTTCAGCCCACTTTGTTACAGTGGAAAAGGAAGGGGCATCATCCCCTAAAGTGGAGACCATGTCAGCATGTATCTGTGTTGGAGTTAGCCCTTTCAGTTGCAGGTACTTGATGACTGCCCTATAGCCAGCTTTGTCAATTTCTGGTGATTTCAATGGGTAGGTTCACAAGATGGTCTGGTACAAAGACAATAATAACACTACAGTTGCAGTTCTTATGTCTGTGATTCATTAAATGATTGTACTTGTTGGTGGAAAAAGTTTGTTTCAATCCGATTGAGATATCCCACTTAGGCTTAGAACTTTACAGCCAGCCCTCGTATCTTCCTATTAACAAGTTAGGAGAGTAGTATCATTACAATCAGGTTTTGAAAGAGGTGAGGCACAATGGTGAAGGATCACTGACCAAAACACTTTAACCATATCTCCAGAAGGTTTTCATTTCCAGAAGGGACACATCGGTCGGTTGGCAGCCGTTCTTAAATATAATTCGGTACTTCTTCGTGTAGCATCAATATACGATTGCAGTTGATCTGCCATCCATCAGTGTTGCATGCGTCCTTTAAGAGAATCATTTGACTAAACGAGCCGCAGGAATTGTTGACATGACAATGTGATGTTACAATGAGACAAGTAACCGTTGCGAAAGTGTTATGTTCCTTTTATTTGACAAGTTGGTTTAGGCAAGGTTCACACAGTGCCGAATATGGCTCCCGTTTGAAATCAGACAGCGCTACGACACGAAAAGTGAAAAAGTCGGATTACTATATTCAGTGATCTGGATGTCCTATCATTGTCTGAACGCAGTCGTATACGTTCGTAACAGAATCCTACGGATCGGGAAAGGTCAAGAGAGGTCGGCCAAGAACTCCCGACAGCATGGTGCGTCCCGTAACATTCGGGAAACTCAGCCGATTTTGTCTAGTCGGATTACAATCGTGACTATGTCGTGACAGATTTTGCTGTATCGGATCAAAATCGTAACAATGTCCCGTGTTGTTTGGACGGTGTCCTGTGGATCGGGAAGCTGTTGTGATGAACGAGCATGAATTGTTCATTGCCGTTTCATGTCGATTGAGGCCAGATTGCGTCCGGATCTTGCCGATTGGAACCGTCTTGTCGGTTCACTGTCCGGTCACTGTCTGATCTCTGTCGGATCGCATTCGGGAGACTTGGGACGCTGTTGGGACAGCTTCGGTCGTTTTTCACCATGCAGAAGATACAAATCGGATAAAATTCCGATTGAGAACGGGAGAATAGGGACGAGTTCGACTGGAAATGGCTGAATCGGGACAATATCTGATTGTTTGTGAATTTCCCGCCACGAATCACAGGATCTTGATCAGACTTTTGACAAATTTTAGTGCGGAATGGTCCCATCAAGGACGGCATTAAACATTTGAATGTGTGACAGCCCTTACGGATGAAGCCGACCCACAGTTTGACACGCAGTAGTTTTCCGGACGAGTAGGTAAACCTGTTTCAGTTCCACTGAAACGACTAACAAGAAGTCGACATCAGCCAGTTAGAACGCAGCTTTCTCGAGCTTTACGGCACTCGTTCCAATCTGGCGACTTCCATTTCAGACTACGCTTGAAAAATATGTTTACACAGTTCTCGATTAAAATTTAAAAAACTGTACAAAGGAACATTCCGGAATGTCTTGCGATTGTATGGCAGTGCTTCCCGCGTACTGTGCAACGCCACCTCCGTTCAAATGTTTCTCCCACGGAAGCGAGAGGTAGACGATGATTTGGATGGAATCAGTCTTACGGGCCGTTACTGTCGTTCGGAATACCACGTGTTATCATTTTCGAGGTTGCATGATTAGAAAACACATTCCGACTGTCACTTTCATAATCTGGCAAGCGGCGCTCTGATTGGTTGGATGAAAGGTCGTTCTGACGTGACCCTTAATGGGATGTCCTCAGATCTTTGTTTAGCGGTAGCGAGAACTAAGATCTGATTTCATGAGATTGGTGTGGACACGAAATAGTCACGTGTTGAAAGTCATATGTAGTGGAACCTAACTTTCTGACATTGGCGCCAGGCTCTGCCACACAACCATCTACATCGTGCTAATGTGTGTGAGTTTGGTTTTACGCCAGTCAGCAAAATTCTAACCTCATCTCGGAGAACTGTACATAATCGAGTCAAACAAGCGAACAACGACTCATGCCGTCGAAGAACGATGACAACACTATCAGAAAGTTCAAACATTACAACATTAAGACCCTCACGGTTATTGACTCTTTATTATGATTAGCACGGGGTTATGTGGAAGTTTCCCGCACGGAATTTCCGCAGGGACCAATTCTTATGGTACAATTTCAGTTTGCAGTTTGTCATCCATGACGTAATGACTTTGGCACAGTCGTCTCTGTTGGATGACAGAGTTTTTGAGCTTGAAATCGATTTTGAAATCTATACACAACTGGATCCAGAAATTGTGTTGATGATTATACTTTCATTCGGATTTGAAATTTCTAGACACATTGAAATTTCAAGTTACAATTGTATAATTGCAACTTATTATCTTGAAATTCCAAGATTATTATCTTCAAATTTCAACTAAGTTTATATCTTGACATTTTATCACAACACCTTGAAATTTCAAGAAAAGAAAACAAACGGCCGTAAAAGTATTTCGTACTTTCATTCGAATTTGAAATTTCAAGACACATTGAAATTTCAAGTTACAATTTTATAATTGCAACTTATTATCCTGAAATTCCAAGATTATTATCTTCAAATTTCAACTAAGTTTATATCTTCACATTTTATCACAACACCTTAAAATTTCAAGAAAACCCCCAAAACAAATGGCCGTAAAAGCATTTCGTACTAAAAGGCTTCCGTAGTATTCCATATTTTACGGAAGCCGATTAGGGCCATTTGTTTTTTCTTTGTTTTATCTTGAAATTTCAAGATACAAAGTTGAAATTTCAAGATACATACTAAGCTGAAATTTCAGGATATTGATCTTGAAATTTCAAGTTTAAAAGTTGAAATTTTGAGATTTTAACTTGAAATTTTAACTTATTATTTTGAAATTTCAAGAGACTAAGTTGAAATTTCAAGATGCTATGTTGGAATTTCAAGACAATGATAACTTTTAATTTAGCTTCTTGAAATTTCAACATGACATCTTGAAATTTCTAGTTAGTATGTTGAAATTTCAAGA